ATTTTGAGAGACAGAAAAAGAGAAGGGCAGAGAGAGAGAGGGAGAGAAAATCCCAAGCAGGCTCCACACTGTCAGTGCAGAGCCTGATGTGGGGCACCAACTCATAAACTGTGAGATCATGACCTGAGCCGAAGTCGAAACGCTTAACCGACTGAGCCACCCAGGTTTCCCTATTTTTATTTTTTTAAGTTTATTTTTTTTTTAGTAATCTCTATACCCAGTGTGGGGCTTGAACTCATGACCCTGAGATCAAAAGTTGCATGCTCTTCTGACTGAGCCAGCCATTCGCCCCAATTTTAGCTATTTTAAATTTAAATTCAAATAGCCTCACAGTTATCATGTTGAAAAATGTAGTTTTAACTGATTGCAGTTTGTATATATAATAGGTATTAATTTTTGTATGTTAATTTCATACCCCATTTCCTTACAGAATGTTGTTTACAGTAGTTTTTCAGTTGATTGAATTGGGTTCTCTTGGAATACAAACATGTCATTGACAAATAAAGATAATTTTACCTATTATTTTCTAATTTTTATTGATTTTTCTTGTCTAATTGCATCAGCTAATACCTCCAATTAAAGGTTATATAGAAATATTGGTAATAGTGTGTATTCTTGTTCCTGATTTAATAGAATTTCTAAGTGTGGTTTCTTCTTTTGTATATAAAAATGATACAAACAGGTGACAAATAAATTGTTCTGTCCCCCTAGCTTGCTCCTCTGGTGCTCCCTGAGCTACTAAGTTGAGGTGCCACCGTTTCCCAAGTTAGAAATCTAGGGATAACCTTCATTTCTCTCTCCCTCTCTTCTCCCTTCCCTTTTCCTCCCCTCCTCCCTCTCTCTCTCTATTATCCAGGCCAACCAGCTGCCAAATCTGTCTTGTTCCCATTTCCACTGCCACCACCCATCTTGTACTTTTCATTGCCTAGAAACATTAGAAGAGCATTTGCTACATTAGTCACCCTGCTTCCACTTCCTTTTTTAAATTTTTATTTTAGTGTTTGTTTATTTTTGATAGAGAACACACTAGCGGGAGAGGGGCAGAGAGAGAGGGAGAGAGTCCCAAACAGGCTCCCCATTGTCAGCACAGAGCCTCATGTGGGACTCAGTCCCCAGAACTGTGAGATCTTGACCTGAGCCAAAACCAGGAGTTGGGCACTTAACTGACTGAGCCACCGAGGCACCCCACCCTGTTTCCACTTCTTCAATCCTTTCTCCACAAAGCAGATGATACGGTCTTTCTAAACTCTTGGTCTATCTTGTGGTGTCCCTACTTAAAACTTGTCAATGTCTTCTCTCTTCTCTTAGGGTAAAGATCAAAAGGCTTCACATGGCCCACAAAGCCTTGAACCATTTGCTTCTGCCTTAAAATCACTTTTCTGTTTAAATCCCTCCAATAGTTTTTTGGCTATTCTCAAAATAAAATTTGAACTCCTACTGAGGCCACAAGGCCCTGGATGGTCTAGTTCCTGTAGACCTCTCCAAACTCACCTCATACTACCTGCATTCACTGCACTTTGGCTGCACTGTTTCCTTTGAGTACTTCAAATACACCGAGCTCTTTCCTACCTCAGTCTTTGCACTAGTTGATTCTTCTATCTACAGTGCTTTCCCCCAAGCTTTTTGAAGGTCTGCTAATTCTCCTCCTTTGTGATTCAAGTCAAAAGCATTTTCTCAGAACATTCTTTCCTGGGCCCTCAATTTAAAATAGTCTCCACACCAGTTCCCTCTATGACATCACCCTACTTCTTTCATGGTGCTTCTTACAATCCAAAATTATCTTATTTATATGCCCACTTATTTGTCATTGGTCCCCACTGAGCATGTAAACTCTTTTATTTACCACTCTATCCTCAGAGCCAGTGCATGACACACAGTAGGCCCAATAGAAATATTTGTTCCAGGGGCGCCTGGGTGGCGCAGTCGGTTAAGCGTCCGACTTCAGCCAGGTCACGATCTCGCGGTCCGTGAGTTCGAGCCCCGCATCGGGCTCTGGGCTGATGGCTCAGAGCCTGGAGCCTGTTTCCGATTCTGTGTCTCCCTCTCTCTCTGCCCCTCGCCCGTTCATGCTCTGTCTCTCTCTGTCCCAAAAATAAATAAACGTTGAAAAAAAAAAAAAAAAAAAGAAATATTTGTTCCATAAAATGGATAGCCAAGGTCAGAGTCAATGACAGATCTTGGAATTCCTTCTTTGCAGTGTTGAAAGGTGTTGCTTGCCACTTTCTTCCAGCAGGTGGAGCCAAAGCCACACCTGTTTCTTAGCGAGAGTAGGGGGTGGGATGTAGGATTGGCATGGCTGAGGGCAGTAGGGCAGAGTCAAGAGACAGGCAGGGTTTTCTGTAGTAATGCTGGATCCAAGCAGAGAGGAACTAAGAATGCGCTTCTCAAAGGATGAGTAGATATGAGCTGTCCAGAAGGCACGTGGTGTTGCCAAAGACCCAAGGAGTTTCTGGGATCCCTGGGTTGCTTTCCTACTCACCCCCCCCCAACCCCCCATATCATCTTCTAAGAAATAAGCAGGGGGTCTTTGAGGAGAACAATTTTCTGTGAGCATGAAACTGAAGAGGGGGTTTTCAATTCCCAATCTCCATTGTACAGCTGGGGGAAATGGAGGCCAGAGAAAGGCATCATGGTGGGTCAGCGCCAGTTGGGTGTGGCTCACAAAGCCTTCTTGCTGGAGCTTGCGTTTAAAAACTCAGCTGCATAAGCCCCACCCCACCGTGCCCAGCCCTGAGCTCAATATGGGAGACTAAAGTGGAAGGGGTGTGGATTCTCAAGAGCTGCCCCAAGGGACAGAGGTGCAGGAATTGCTTTAGAGAGGCATTCTGGAGCCAAGGTGTATTGGACCAGTGTCTATCAGATGGACCAGGGGCCAGAGTATGTTCCAGGGCTGGGCAGGTGGCCTGGGGGCGCTGGGGAAATCAGCAAAGGTCTCTGACTTCCTCTTGAAAGCAATGGGGACTCACAGAAGGGTTTCTAAATAGGATGGCCACTTAGGTTATCTTGGATAGTTTACAGAAGGAATGTGAGGAGATCAAATCAAAGACAGAGACCAGTGAGGCTGCTGGTATAATCCTCCTGGTGAGAGACCGGATAAGTAATTGTAGGGATGGGAAAGAAGCAAGCTTGAGTGGTTTAGGAAGTTTAAAATAATTTTTATTTTTTTAAAGACAGGATTTGGTGGGTGTTGGGAGTACAGGGAGAGGGGAGGTAGGAGTGGGTTTCTGCAAACATTATCTGAGTCCCTGAGCACTCCAACTACAAAGGCCAACCCAGAGCCCAGGGCCCTTGGCCTGCCCAGGCAGCCTGACCCTGAGATGGCAGCTCTAAAGGCAGCAGGACCTGGCTTGGAGGTGACCAGACTCTTGGTTCACACAATGGCCTAAAGTAGTGGGTGAGAGCACTGGCCTTATAGCCAGACAGAATGGATTCAAACATCGTCTCCTCTGATGACCTCGGACAAGTTACTTTTCTGTGCCTCAGCTTCCTTATCCGTAAACTGGGAATAATAATGGACTCACCTCACAGAGAAATTATGCATCTGGTTGTGCCTGTTAGTAACACTTGATAAATTTATGAAAGTGGCCTGGCAGAACTTCAGAGCAAAAATGGAGCCTCCCCTTCTCCCTCCGAAAATGGAGCCCTAGACCCAAAGTAAAAACCAAGCCTGAATAGCGCACACACTTCTCTTCTCTGGCCTGCATTTATCCATCTATAAAATAGAGAAGCTGGACTGGTACCCCTGATCCTGCCAGCTTGGCCTAAGTGTATGAGACCCAGTGATGTGCTGGGGGGCAAGTAGAGAGCTGACTGTTAAATTTTTGGGAACTTCTGTTAGTACATCCATTGGTAGGTAACCTGAAATTGGCTACAGCAAGAGCATTTACACCATGGAAACAGACAAGCGCTATAAACCAGGTCTTCCCCAGCAGCCTCCTCCCCACCAGAGGTGGTTTTTCACCGGCACACCTGTGGGGAGAACCCTTCCTCAACCAACACACAAACCCAGCCAGGTACAGTCTCACTTTCCAACACCATCATTAACAGCTACGGGGAAAGAATCACAGGTCTCGGGACCCCACACAGCCCCAAGCACATAGGATATGTGCCAGCTCCACATGCTCAGGCAGGCACAGAGCAGAAGGCACAGGGCACAGGCCTGGGCAGAGCAGCCTGTCTGTCTGACAGCCAGCAGGTCGCTCTCAGACACAGGGGAGTGGAGAGTGGTGGTTAAGGTCCCAGAGTCTCACAGACCTGGGATGATATTTCAGTACGGTAACTCTTGGCCATGTGACCTTAGCCACGTCCCTCTCTATACTGGAGCTCAGTTTTCTTCTCTTTAAAGTGGAATAGTCCTGACATAGCAAGACAGCTTCAAGGATTGAGGGTGAACACCAACAAAGTGAAGGTAAAGCCTCCACACTGTGCCTGGTACAGATAGGGGTTTAGTAAATGTTAGCCGATGCTGTTATCACACCTCCAGACACATTCTTCCCCACCGGGGCACCTGCAGCTTAGTGTTCCCTCTCACCATCTGCGTCTTGGCACAGAAGGGGTCAGGGCAAAGTGGCCGAGGGCAAAGACAGAAACAGGAACCTCTGGTTTCCAGCTTTTATCAAAATTAATAACATTAATAGCTCACAGACATATACATACACACACATTGCTATGTACATGGTCATTAAGTTATTAATTAGTCTCTGTATAAAACGTTTCCACATTAGTGTTCCGGGCTAGGCCCGATCAGTCCTTGGCATATTCACAGTAGCAGCCCCGGGGCTTGGCCCCATGGGCAGGCAGATGTGAGGCAGGTGGCTGTACGAACAGCCCTCCCCGTGGCAGGCACAGGAGGTATCCTGGACCACTTACTCTTGAGTCTTTGGCTCCCTTCCTGGCACCTGGAGACCAGGTATTCAGCGATCAGGCAAGTAGGTCCTGATTTCTCCTGTGGTCCGGGACCCAGGCACTGTGGATGGTGGCTTCGGGCAACACAGCAGACCCTAGAGGATTCTGGCCAGCTCTGTAGAGTCTGTGTCAGAGCAGCCAGAGCTGCTGGCCTCTTCCCTGCAAGAGCCGAAGGAGACGGGTTGGAGGAAGCATCCTTACCCCTTCCCTGTCCCTAACTGCCTTGTGCCTTGTTCCGCATAGGACCTTGGCCCTAGTCTTAGCCAGCTGTCAGGTGTGTTTTTACACAGTTCACAACCAGTGCAACTGTACAGGTGAGTCTAAACTATAGGATGTAGACAGTTTGCTCACTCCCTCTCTCAATCCAGAAACTGCCGGTTGGTCTGTCTGCAACTCTCATTGCCCACAGGGTACTACTACAAGCCCTGGAACTATACTTTGGACTTGGGCTGGCATGATTCACTTGACCCTGCCTTCTGGTCTCCCGAAAGGCAGGCTCAGGCCACACCTGAGACCCTGCACACCAAGAGAGCTGTGAAGAATACAGGCCGTGGAGTGAGAACGTCAGGGTGCAAACCCCAGTTCTACTCCTTATCAGCTGGGCCAATTACTCTTCCTGGCTAAGCCTCTGTTTCTTCATCTACCAAGTGGGAATTGTAGGAATCTCCTGACACCTGGGGTTGTTGAAGAACTGTAGGAGATCATGAATGCCCATTCCCTAAAATGTAAACTCCACGAAGGCAGAGATTCTGTTTGTTTCATTCACTAGAGCAATGCCGGTCACATAGTAGGTTTCCAATAAGTATCTGTTGAATGAATAAATGTAAAACCAGCCAGCACAGTGACTGGCATGCAGCTAAGTATCAGAGAGATGTCAGCTGACATTATTATCAGTCAGCAGTGAGAAGGGGAAATAGAGCAGGAACCATTGAGGGAAGATGGGCAGGAAGTTAAGTCAGGATTTGGCCACAGGAGGCACGAGCTGAGGGGTTAGATTGGATGATGCCCCCTCCTCCACCCCCCTGCTCTCACCTCAGAGCCTGCAAGTCCTTCTTGTTCTGCCGCCGCTTCTCCTCATCAATGGGGTACAGCTTGAAGAGCAGCAGGCCTAGCAGGATGAGGACTATGGGGGCTATGGTCACCAGCATCTTCAGTGTGAACTTGACACGTGCCGGCTGCGAGCAGCCACGGGTCTGGTACCCGGCAAAGCTGTGGGACCCAGTGGTCAGGGGAGTGGTGAGGGCAGGGCACCTGGGGCCCAGCCCTGCCCAGCACTGCTCCAAGACCCCACCCCACTCACTCAAGACTGAGGGTGGAGATGCCCAATGAGACTCCAGAGGCGAACTTGGTGAAGAAGACGTAGAAGGAGAAGAAGATGGGCTCAGTTCCATGAGACTGGGGCTGCTTCAAGTGGAAGTCGTCAATGACATCAGGCAGCATGGACCTGCGGAGTGGTGGCAGCCATGAGGACCCACCCACCCAGCACTCCAGGGCCCCCGCTAGCCCACGTGGCGCCTCTGTGTCAGTAAGAAGAGGTGGCCCTCTGAGACCTTGTAGGCCCAGGGCACACAGCTCCGTGAAGTTCACAACTTCGTGGATGCTGCCCCGGTCTAGGCGTGCAGCTTGGTAAGTAGAGTGCAAACCAGATTTAAGCCCCCCATGTCCCATCCTGATTAGGTGTTTTTGCACAGTTCACAACCAGTGCAACTGTACAGGGAAGACTTGTTCTACCCCCAACCTGGACCCACAGAATGGTCTGCAGGAGAAGTTCCTGCGGAATTGTCCCCAAGGAGTTTCAAAATAGGGGCTAGGGGGCTGGGAAACATAGCCAGGTGGGCCTATATACACTCACCAGGGTAGTAAGAAGGCCGCTGCTACACTGATGCCGGCTGCCACGGCTACCACGTATGTGATAATCAGATTACTCTTCATGAAGGCCACCAAGATGAGAAATGGCACTGCTGACTAGGAGAAGGGGTGAGTACGGGAAGATGGGTCAGCCTGGAGACTCCCACCAGCAATCCCCAACCCAGTCCGGGCCCTACCCCTTCAGCCCCACTCACTGAAATCCCAATGTATACTGCTGTCTTCTTGCCATATCGGGTTAGGAACCACTGCCAGATGGGAATGGTGAATGTGGCCGAGAGCTGGGGATGCACAGTAGGGGGTGAGGGAAGTGGGTTAGTCATGAACCCCTGTTGCCCTTCCCAGGACCTCAAAGAAACTCCTAGCAGCCAGATGACACCATCTGGGCAGTAAGAAAGCTGACAGGCACCACTGACGGCTCTCCAGGGGAGCCGAGAGCTAGTCCCAATCTTATCTCCTGCCTTCTCTGAGCTCAGCTGAGCATAGCTTCTCAAAGTTCTTGGTTTCTGCTATGTTCTCTACCGGAATATCTTGCCCCACATCTTTCACAGTCCTATCTAAGCAATTGTAGGTCAGATCCAACTGACGATTCTGAGATTCCTCCCTCAGCCCTCCTAACCTTAGTCGGTCCGGGAAATATCCTCTGACTACCCAAAGAACCATCTAGAAGTCCAGGCTGCCTACCCACCCTCGGGGCCCCACACACACCATGATGGCCAGGAGCAGATTCTGGAATTCATTTCGGAAGCCCAAGGTGTAGGTGCAAAACAAGGCGAAGTTCCCCTCCACCAGCTGGGGGATGGGCAGCGTATAGGAAAGGAAATGTAAGGAAAGACATGAGGTCAAGGCCAAGGCTTCCCCATGTTCCAGAGACCTCTGCTCACCCCACCCCCAATCCATCTGTCCCTCAGGCTTCGTCACTGAGTCCTTGTTTTACCCCACCCCTATTGCACTCCCCTCAACCCCCACTCATCCACTCCCCACCACTCCCTGCTCTCAGGCTGAGCATGTCAGGCCCCCACTCACCATGAAAGCCAGGGAGGTAAAGAGGAAGCCAGCAATAAGTTTGACATATGGGCCATGGCTCATGACCAGTCGGAGGCCCCGAAAAAAGGACATCGGCTCAGCCTGCTGAGTCTCATAGGGTTCTGGGGGCCAGAGGGGACAGTGAGGAAGGAGCAGAGACACCTCCCAAAGCCTGAGGCCCAGGCAGAGGGACAAAGCCCTGCAGCGCTGGGGCCTGCACCGCTCCCCAGGGATCCCTCACCTCTCTGCTCCCGCACGCCCAGGGTGAGGATGACAGCACAGATGACATAGATGGAGGCAATAACTCCTGCCGCCAGCAGGTATGCATTTTGCTGCAAAGGGGATAAAGGCAACATAGAGACCATCAGTCTGATCTCATCCCAACTCTCAGCAGCTCCACTCCGTGGGCCAGTCCCTTCTCTGGGGCCTGTCTCTACTGGTGAAGTGGGAGAACTATCCTGGGCTGGCTGCTGCTTCCCATGGCTAGGCAAAGTCCAGAGGAACAGAATGTTAAGAAGCCAGGCTATGGAGTGTGAGAGCTCCCCCAGATCTAGTTTCTGTAAATCACTAGTTCTATGACCCTGGCCAAATTATTTAGAATTATCAGAAATTATCAGAAAAGTGGGCATATTAACAGTTTGTAGAGCAAATGCCCAATAGTCACTATGCTGAGGATGACTGCAAACTACCCCATTGTGCCTCATCTCCCCAGATCCCTGTGCAGCCAAGGGCCTCACCGTTTCTTTGAGTGAGGTGGCGCTCTGTGTGTGATTGGTACCTTCCGAAGCCAGTGCAGAACCATTGGGGTCCTGGAGGCAAGGCGTATCCGCTTGGCCCACGATTTGCCCCTGGATCGCTGTGCCCAGCACGGTGCCCAGTACCTCCACGGTCATTCCTGAATGGTAAAAGGGTCCTTTGGAGGGGCCTTGTGGCTTGTAGGCCCCCAGGGAGGAAAGTCAGGTGGACAGATGCCCAGTTCTAGCCCCAGGTGATGGTAGCAGCTCCAGGAGGGTAGATACAGGGTGGTGAGGCAGATGACGCCTTGGCCTAACCTTATGGCCTTGCTTTGTATGACCTCTGGCTGGCTAGTCCCTGCACCTCTCTGTTCTCGCCAAAGCAATAAAAGGATCAAGTTATTTTTGAGATGGTTTTACACCCACTCCCAGCAAGGGAAGAAATGTGGCGGGAGGGTCAGGAACAATAGACCCACGGTCCCCGGTGGATGGATCAGTGGGCTGGAGAGAGACTTACGATACGCAGTGGCAGAATCCCGCTCACTCTGCTCTGTGCTGATGAACATCGTGAGAGCTGAGTAGGGAACGTGGAAACACTGGCATGGAAGAGAGGCCCTTGACCAGTCAGATGATGGACAGGCAGATGTGGCTTTGGGCACCAACCCTGGAGGCCCCAGGGACTGCCCTCATTCCTCCCCACCAGACACCCAGGGGAGGTGCCCACACTCACCGTGACCAGTGTCTCAAACAGGCAATAGAAAAGCAGGTACCACAGGGCCTGGCCCTGTGGGAAGTCAGGCACGAACCAGATGAGGAAGTAAGCAATGATGGCCAGGGGTGTGGAGAAGATGATCCTGAGGAAGGGGAAGGTCTGAGTAGGGGCTGGATGCCAAAACTCCAGGATCTGGGCCCCAGCCTGGACTGCTCTGTAGTCCCACAGGGTGCCTGCCGGGAAGGAAATTCCTCCCCCTGAATCTACCCACCCCAGGGTCTCTGGGAAGAGGCTAATGGCCAAGCCCGGAAGGGCTGACTTCAGCAGTGCCCCTGGACTGAAATCCTGAGCACGGAGCAGGAGGTCAGACCCTGAATCTTGCCTACATCTCCCCAGTGGAGAGGGCTCCCGAGGCAGGGGCTTCCTATGGGCTGGGGGAACTGAGAATGGCAGCTAACCCTCGGGTAGTAGGGTGGCAGGGAGCAACCCCAATACCAGTGTTCTTACGCGCACACACATACAGTCAGCACACATACACACACACTGTGGGCACACACACAGCGGTAGGGGAGGCTGACTCCAGGCGGAAGGACTGGGCTTAGTGAGATAACTATAATGGGGCGTAAACATGTGCCTTCCCACTTGTGCATTCTACACCGTCGCAAAAGCGGTTAGACCTCAGGAGGGACCGACTGCATGTCATTAGTACACACAGGCAGCAAAGAGCAGCGGCTAAAAGAAACCCCTCTGGAGCCATACTTCAGGAACCCAATTCTGGCTCTACCAGTGACTATAAATACCTTACAAGTTATTTAACTTCTCTGAGGCTTATTTTCTCATCTGTAAAATGACACTAGTAACAGCACCTACCTTACATTCCACATTTACTCAAAAGATATTCAAGTGCCAGCAACGTGCTAAGCACTATTCTTATCACTTAGGATGTTACCAGTGAACGAAACAGACGAAAGCTATGGCCCTGGGGGATCTTATATTCCAGTTGGCAAATGAAGAATAGGCATCATTTAAAAGTTATATATATTATTCAGCCTTAAAAAGAAACGAAAGTCTGACACAGGCTACAACCCAGATGGACCCTGAGGACATTGTGGTAAATGAAATGGGCCAGACACAAAAGGATAAATATTGCATGATCCTGTTCTCAAGACGCCTAGAGTAGGTGTTCAGGGACAGGGAGTACAGTGGTGGTTGCCAGGTGCTGTGGGGAGGGTGGTATGGGAATTATTTTTTTCATGGGGACAGAGTTTCAGTTTGGGAAGATGCAAAAGTTCTGGAGATGGATGGTGGTGATGGTTGCACAGCAATGAGAATGTACTTGATGATACTGAAGTGTACATTTAAAAATGGTTACAATGGCGGGGTGGGGGGTGCCTGGGTGGCTCGGTTGGTTGAGCGTCCGACCTCGGCTCAGGTCATGATCTTGCGGTTTGTGAGTTCGAGCCCCGTGTTGGGCTCCGTGCTGACAGCTCAGAGCCTGGAGCCTGCTTCGGATTCTGTGTCTCCCTCTCTCTCTGACCCTCCCCCACTTGTGCTCTGTCTCTCTCTCTCTCTATCAAAAATAAATAAAATGCAAAAAAAAAAAAATTTTTTTTAAATGGTTAAAATGGCAAAAGTTTATGTTATGTGTACATTTTACCACAGTTTTCAAAAGGTTATGTATTAGAAGGTGATTAAGTGCCATGGAGAAAAGAAAGCAGTCTAAAGGGGATTAGGAGTATGGGGGTAGAGGTGACAAGAGCAGACAGGGTAGCCCTCACGGAGGTGCTGATATCTGTGCCAAGACTCGGCTGAGAGGAGGGAGTTGGCCTTGAGCAGTTGTCTGAGGCAAATGTGTGTCGGGCAGGAACAGTCAGTGCAGAGGTGCTCAAGCAAGTTTGAGGAGAAGCAAGGAGGCTACTGGGGCTGGAGTGGAGTGAAGTGAGCACAGGAGGTGGGATTAGGAGATGGGGTTGGAGGACATGGAGTACCAGGTCATGTCCTTACAGGCCACCGTAAGGACTTTGGTTCTATCTCATAGAGTTGAAGTAGTTTTGAGACTTTAATAAGTTGATACTAAAATGTAGAACAGTGCTTGGGACATAGTAAGTGCTCACTGTGACTACCACACCAGAAAGCCCAGCGGGAGAGTACAGGTCCATGGCCAGGGAATCAGACCTCAGGCTCAGCCCTGCTGCATCCCAGCCTGCCCTTGTGACCCTGTGGATACTTTGCCTCTCACCACGTGGCCTTGGGAACTCCAGGGAGAGTGTCTGTCAAAGTCTTCCTGGTCGGAGGGGTGGATGTAAGTGCTGGCTAAGGGCAGGGGCTGCTCTGAGGCCTGAGAAGATAGTGGGCCACAGGGCTGATGAACCCTGAAAGGCGCGGCCTCTACCCGCACCACAAAAAGGGGCTGGGTTCCGGGCCTGAGGGACCTAGGTCCTGGCTGTGGTATGGACCAGGAGGAGGTCCCGTAGCCTACACAAAAGCCCCTCAGCCCCCCACTGATCCAACGTGCGCTCAGACACAGGGGTGGAGGTACCATTCAAGAAGTATCACCCAGAATTACCACCCGAACAGGTGAGGACATGTACGCAGACACCGTGCTAAGTCAGAAACCTGCCTGAAGGCCCCTCAGCAACTTCACCAGGCTGGCTGCCACACCTGCCCAGCTCCAGGCCCTCAGATCCTGCTTCCCACAGGGAGGGCCTCCTCTTTTCTCCCTCTCTGCCCTCCCCCCTCCTTCCCGAATCCACGCGTCTCCTCGGAGAACAAGGGCTCCTTCCGTCAGCCTTCGTCAAACACTCCTTCCTCTCCTTTCGCTGAGAAGCTGAGAAACCGAATGTGACTGGAAGTAACCCAGCTGCTGCCGCCGGCCACCGCAAGGGGCTGTCCAGGGTAGCTCTCTCCCATTGGCTGTGCCTCATGAGGAGATGTGGCAGCAGAGCCCCACCTCCCACAGGCTGCCAGGGACTCGGGTCTGGGGCCCAGCCTTGTGGGCTGGCTCCTACCTGGGCGGCCTGTCCAGGTGAGGCGGATGGTCCTGCCTTGCAGCCACCCCCATCCCATCGCCATCTCCCTCCCCCTCCCCCTCCCCACAAATCCACCCCCCCCCACCCCCCCACCCCCGCAGCCCTGCAGCCTGGATCAAAGGCCCCAATCTGGGCCTTAGCCAGGGGCTGGTGCGATTGTGGTGGGAGGGGGGCCTCGTGGGAAAGGAAGTTGTGGGGGTGGAGTGGGAGCTGTGGGAAGAGCTTTGAAGGCCGGAGACCAGGTATGGGCACCCCTGGGGCAGGAAGGCGCCCATTTGAGCCTGGATGGGCTGGAGATGAAAGGGGTATGTCCACCCCCCTCCCCCCACCAAGCAGGATGTCCTGGAGAGAACCAGAGCTCCAGACTGTCAGCTGGTCCCGTGTGTCTCTCTTGGCTGTGTGATCTGTGGTACTACCTCCCCCCACTTTGCCCTATAGCCTGAGGCTGAGTAGTGTAGGCTTTGTATCAAGGGAAAAGGTAGTTTACATCATCCAAGGGGCCAGAGGTTATGGTTCTGCAAATCCCATTCTTGGTATTACCCTCCACCCTTGACCACCAGGAGCTACTCTGAAGGGGTGCCAAATTATACATTACTTAATATGTGCCAAGCACCGTTCTAAGTACTTTACATATAAAAAAAATTTAATCCTCACCATAAACGCATGAGATAGGCATAATTATTATTTCCATTTTGCAGATGAAAAACTTGAGGCTCAGAGATGTTAAGTGATTTGCCCAAGGTTGCATAGCTGTGAGTGGTGAAACACAGGCAGGCTGGCTTCCGAGTATAACCTCTCAACCACTATGCAGCACTATCTCTGCCGCTATAATGACTGAGGGGGAGGAGTTAGAATTCCAGCTTCGCAGGAGGGAATGGACTTTGGGGAGCAATGGGGCCTGGTGTAGGGGAAGCTGCTCAGTCTGGCAATTTAGCCAGCCTGGGAAATGAATTGGCAGAGCATCCATCCCAGTGCCCATGCCTGGGGCAGCTGAGGCCTCAGCTGGGTTTCAACACTCGGTTTTCTGCGTCATTTCTTCTCACCCCCCAGCCTGTGACAAGTCAGATGGAAGGATCAAGAGTTAGTGGGCATGCCTGAAGCCCTGCCTTCTGCCACCTCAGAGGAGCCTCTTTTACTCACCAGGGCATGAGGCGGCCCAGGCGGGTCCAGGAAGATTTGCTAATGCAGAAGCCCACGAGGGGGTCTGTGAAGGCATCCCAAGCTCGGCCCACAAATAGGATGATGGAGGCAGAGAAAGGGTCCACCTGGAATGGGGAACAGGTAAAAGGTGACCCCTTCATCCTTCTACTCATCTCAACCCTCGATGGTAGGCAAAAGCAGGGCCTCCCTCCCCATCTCAGCCAGGCCCTTGGGACTCTGGGCTGCTCTCACTCAGGCCTTCATCATCTTCTCTTGCCTTGTTCATAATGATAACAGCTCCCTGATAGCAGCCAGTGCAGAGTGCCTTAGAAGTTTTCCCAGATCTGCTCCCTTATGTACTCCCTTCCACTGCCCTTGAAAACACTCCCCATCGACTAGAATGAATCCAGAATCACTTCCTTGCTTCCCTCTCACAGCCCTGAGCGCCAAGCACCTGGTATCAAAATGAGCATTTGCTCATTTGACTACAGTGGGCCTCAACTTCCCCATCTGTATAATGGGAGTTATGATCCCTATCTTACAGGACTGGAGTTAAGATCCCTGTCTTACAGGTCAAGCTCTATCTTGGATGTGGAAAGGAATCTTTAGATGCTTTTAAAAAGTGATCTGTGACTATCCACTGAAGCCATCCCCCTCCCTGCAAACCTTTTAGGCCTAAATAGTTTCTCTGGACTCTTCCTTACATCCATCAAGGCTCTACTATATTGCTTTTGCTCCAGGAAATAGGGAAACTGGTGGCCTCTCTCACACTGTAGTTTCCCCAAACTGACTCTCCCTAACCTCACACTCATGAAGACAATTCTATACTTTGATTGCAGGTTCCTCATATTTGTACCCCACTCAGGACCCAGCCCATGGGAAAACTAGCTGCTTGAAAGAAGTTACTTGTCCTTTCTGGGGCTCAGTGTTCCCCACCTAGAAATGGATACAATGAAGATGCTTTGCCTGCAGTGGCTGTTGAGCCTCCCACTCTCCCATCCAGACAAGGTGAATTCTCAGGATGCCAGGCTGCTGGCCAAAGCTCAGAACAGAGAAGAACCCTGCTTCACCCTAAGTACCTCTCTCAGTCAAAGACCCTGTGCACTGGGCGCCTTAACCTAGCTCAGCACTTGGGGGCCTCTCTGCCCACTGACATGCCTTGGCCTCTCAGGTGAAGGTGGGAAACAGCTTATGTACAAGCCTGGCAACATCTACCAGCCCCTGAGCTGGGCCAGCTGACTGTTGTCCAGCTGGGGACATGGTGTGCCAGTCTCTTCTAAGAACAGGGTCACCAGCAGGCTCCATTCTTTCTCACACCACTGTCTGCCCCTCCAGGCTCTGTTGCTCTTGCCAGGCAAGGAGAAGTTGCCTGACCTTGCCAACTAAGACTCCTGGGGCAGATAGACTCCCCTGCTGAATACTTTCCAAAGCAAGCCTTCTTATTTCTTATCTACGGCTGACTCTGAGAGGCAGCAAAGTAGGGATTCCCAGTCCCATTTCACAGATGGGGAAAACTGAACGTATCTACCCTCCCACCTCAGGATGCTGGAGGAGCCCTGGTGGGCTCAGCCCCACTTACCTGAGCCACATCCAACAGGTAGATCTGCAGGAAGAACCCCAGGGCACAGCCCGTCACCTGGTAGGGGGCCCCCCCAACTGCATAGCAAAGCTTGTTGCAAATGGACAACTGTTGTTTCTTCTTTGGTTCCTTCTGGGAAGAAGAGGAAAGGATGAAAAGAGACCCAGGATCCTGGCCTCCATCCTAGAAGGTTCCAGAGGCAGGACCATTCTTCTGATCCACTCTGCCAGGAGGAACAAGTCTACCTTGCCCTGTTCCCACCCAGGGTGATCTCACTTCCTACAAGAAAAGAAAGGTATTCTCTATCTTAGGAAGCTGGAAAAGGGGATTCCATACCAAGGAAGTGGCCCCTAAGCCACCCTACCCCCAGATTCTGAGTTAATTTAGCAGCCCACCGTTCCTAAAAACAAAACAAACAACAACAACAACAACTTCCCGTAGGGTTCCAACCATGCTCTGTTCCAGTTGGAGGGGGAGCATGCTCCAGCAGCAGACCTGTGGACCTGTCCCCACCAGGCACCACCAACCGTCACAACCTGAAAATCCTCCGGCTGCCAAGAGCTGCCTAAGCCCAGCCCCTGCTCCCGCCCTAGTTCAGAGGCCAGGACCCACCTGCCTACTGGGTGAGGGGCCCAGCCCAGCTGGCTGGGGGCACAGCTGTTCCTTCCATCTGTCCCAGAGCGACCCTGGCCCCTGTAGTCAGCCAGAGCTGGAGGCAAACCCGGGAGCTGTCCTACCCTCCCTCTTGCTATTCCCCATCCCCAGTTCCTAGGGAACCTTGGAGAGGGGAGGAAAGGCCTCTAGGTACAGGGCTGGGCCCTATCTGGGTGGGGCACTAGAGAGATTGAGTTTGCCCAGGAAAGTGAAGATTACTCATATTAGAGCATAATTGCTCCCCCCCACCCCCACCCCCCACACACTCCGCTCCTTGCAAGGATCACTTAATAAAACTAAAAGGAAACGGCAGTCACCTCCCAGGCAGATACCTATTGCCTGGGATCTCCCCCTGGAGTCGCCTGATTCAAATGGGTCCTTCACTAGGTCCAGAGAGCTGGGGATGGGGTCGAAGGTCAGGACACGCAAAGCAAGGCGCGCTCATCAACACCCACACTCACACAAGGGCCTCTCTCTCGGAAGTGCTGCTCTTTTAAGAGCAGAGAGCCCTTGTTCTTATGAATGAACTTGAGCGGCCCTCACCGCAGAGTTGAGGTGCCAGCGCAGGCATGTGGGGGTGGGGAGTAGGGGCTGAGAGATGGGGAATTAAGGGGAGTTTCCCGGATTTCTGGGGTCTCTGGCTTCCAGGGCGGCAATCCTAAACCGCTCGTCACAGAAGAACGGAAACCGGCTCTACACAGCCAGGCACCACGTGAAGCTGCCGGCGCGGCCGCTCGGCGGAGAGGCGGGGTGGGGATGAGCAAAAGGGGGCGTCTACAAATCCTCTCCATCACCCCCTGTCCCCAAGGCCGGTACCCCCCGGCCCTCCCCTGCCACTGGGCTAGCCTGTCCCCGGCTAGCCCGAGGCGTCCGGAACCAAACCTCTTCCTCGACGTCCCCATCTCAGCTTACTCTCACCCCTAGCCCTCCGCCCGGGGGGGGGG